CGGCAAATTACGTGCACTGTCTGAACTTGAAAATAGAGATTCTTGAAACATGAGTGGCAGTTTACATAAACATTACGTTTCGAGATATTAATTTGGCAAACTGTCTTCCAACCAAACCCTGAAAGTATTTTGAAAAACAATGTATAACTTGACTGAAAATAATAATGTTGCTAGAAGAGAGGCGAAGATTTCTTATGATTTTCGACATGTAATATAAACATAGTCTTAATTAGTGACTTGCAACCAGCGGGTCGTAGGTTCGGATCCCCATCACCAAATATGCTCACCCTTTCAGCCCACTATTCTTTTGGTGAAAGAGTAGCCCAAACGTTGGCAGAGGATGGTGTTGACTAGCTGCCTTCCCTCTAATTTATCACTGCTAAACTATGGACGGCTAGTACAGATAGCTCTCGAGGAGGCTTTGCGCAAAATTCAAGATAAACCAAACTTGGTTAGTGATTGTATCATCTCAACTATTATATTGTTTGGTTGATTTAGTGCAAAGCTGCATAGGCTATCAACGTCCTGTCCACCGCGGAGAATCGAGCTCCATAGAGAACTCGACTATAGAATAAAGTCAGACCTAATTTCTGTACTAGTAATTTAAAACAAATAAAAATAGTGATTGATACGAAGGTCAAAGGTAAACATGCCTACTCCTATGCTTTTTTTTTATTCTTTCTTTAATTAGTTTTGTATTAAAATAATATTGAACATAATTCGTACCATCCATTTCAACTATTTTCAAACACTTATAATAGAACATTAATATATCCATTTGAATCGTCTCTAATTGGATAAATCTATTTTGAAGTTGTTTTATTATTTCTCTCAAAGTTATGACAAAGTCAAATTCAATTTTTCCATACTTACCGTAAACCTTCATATGTGCTGCCATCTAGTGTCCGTCAACATAGCTGAATGGTTATAAAAGCTGTGTCGTTGTATCTTGAGAGCTTGATATTCAGTTTATAACAACCTATCTCTAGCTCAACAGCAACAGAAATGGTAGGACACTTAGTAGGAACTATATCTGGCATTTAGTCTTTTTTTTCTGAAAATCTACAGGAATGTGGATTATTTTATGAGGGACACATAAGTGTACAATTGGATAACATCGAGAAAAGTTATGATTGGTTTTTGCCAGTAGAGTTTGGTAATTTTTTACCCTAATTCAGACCCTAGTCACAGCATTTTCGTAGTACATTATCTATTAAACATTCACTATTTCCGAACTTTTAGTGAAATCTATGAGGAACTGATGAGACAAAGAGCCAGATTCTCTGAGTGTTTGTTCTTGTCGAGATGGAAATGAGGTCGTATTCAAAGCTAAGCTGCAGATGTAAAGTGCCTAAACGTCCCAGGTGTGGATGTGATCATATGGCACACCAGTTGATCTAAACGTTAGATGTAAGAGAGGTCAGAGCTCTAGCGGAGGAGGTGTTTTCAAGCGTCCAAAGATAAGTAAACCTGCGTATAGGAGTGGTAAACTTATGGATGTATCCAACGACTTGCCCTCAAATGGGGATGAGAGCAGAAAGGAGAGAATAGTCTGAGATCGGTTAAGAAACTGAGAATTTAAAGACTTTTACTGAGAGAAGTACAAGAACAACATTACAAGGATAAGAGGAAGGAGATGAGTACAGCGAGTTGACTTAACACAGGTAAATTCTTCTCTGAAGCAACTTTGACAGGAACTTCGGACTCTTCAATAGGTCGAATCACCACTAGCAGTCTCCTCTGAAGTTCAAAAGTTGGCCATTCACTCAACAGAATACTTCAAAAGATGATCATGATGGATTACTTTTGGCTTGGATTATCTGTCCTTCTGGATTTTATAAACACATAACTGACTTTTTAAGTACAACATGTGGTCCTTCCCAACACCTGCTTAATTTAGGAGTTTGTACTCTCTTGTAGTATTGATTGTACAGCCATACCATGTCATCTTTATAAAATCCAGTTTTATCACAGAAATTTTCACTTTATTACTAGTTGATGTAATTCTTTCCTGGGTTAAAGTTATGTATGGCATCAGTGGTGCTTTTTAGTCTTCTGTGTATTCTGTACAAAGCTCTGCTTAGTGATTACCTTCAGAATGTGAGCACAAACGTCCAATAGAACTATTAATTCTCTCCCAAACATTAGTGATGCTGGTGTGTTGCATGTAGCTTCATGTACTGCCGTTCGATAGCTCATAAGTAACAGTGGAAGGTCTTGATACAACATATTAGGATGTCCTTCCATATAAATGACTAATTGATTTAAAAGTGTACATTTGTATTTCTCCCCATTCCATCAGAAGATGGACGAAGGGTTGTTCCTGTTGTCCTTGTCTTATGGGGCTCCAAAGATTTGACACATCTTCACACAAAAAAAGGCTAATTCAAAGTTTAATCCTTGATCTGAGTGAAGATCCATAGACATATCAAATCTCGAAATAAATTCATTGACGAGTTTCCTTTCTAGAGCTAATGTTTCCTGGTTAGGAATAGCATATTATTCTGGCCACTTGGTAAACTAGTCCATCACGACCATGATATATTTATTCCCACTGTTACTCTGTGGGAAACTACTAAGAACAATTCTCTGAAGTACCGTTCTACCGTAATACTACTGTAGTTACCTGTACTGTTTCTTTTGTGAATATCTTTTACTCACAACATACAAGGGTTGTCCGAAAAATTCGTGGCCCGACTTGAAATAAAATCTGGAATGTGTTAAGTTTGAACCTTTTTATGAGTAAACAACCCGTAACATATAACTTAACCAGCTTATTTAGTGTGTTGCGTATTTTTGAAGGAAAGAAAACGTCCTGGAGAAGATCAAACTTCATGCCATGATCAAGTTTTTGTTAAAAAGAAAATGACACCAAAAAAATCCACAGAACATGAAAACAGCATTAGGAGAGGGCGCTCTGGCATAGTCAACCGTGAAAAAGTTGTGTGGTGAGTTTACGGTAGAGAATCATGGGAAAATTACCCGAGGTCAGGGTGGCCCTCAACATTGACCACATGAGAAACTGTAAATAAATATCATGATTTGGTTATATATGATAGAAAAAAATGCCACTAGAAAGTTAGCAGAGGAAGTGGGAATCAGTAAAACTACTGTAGCAAACATTTTAAATGATAGTTTGGGCATGAGTAAAGTTAGTGCTAGATAGGTTCCAAAAATGCTGTCACCTGAGTAGAAACCAATCCAAATTGTTGAAAGCCAATGCCTACTCTAAAGGTTTTAATAGATTCGTAATTAAGGATGAAACTTGTGTTCACCACTTCAACCCAGCAACAAAAATGAAAAGTTTGCAATGGAAACACCGAAGTTCACCCACTTCAAAGATGTTCAAGTCACAACCCTCTGTCTAGAAAGTCATGGCATATTTTTTTGTGATGCTAAGAGTGCTTTACTAGTTGATTATTTGGAAATGTGTCAAACCATTACAGGAGGTTACTATGCATCCTTAGTCAACAAATTGTGTCAAAAAATCTAAGAAAAGAGAAGCGGATTGCTCAAAACAGGTGTGATTTTTAATCAGAACAAAGCCACAGGTTATAAATCGTGTGTTGCTTTGAATGATATCCATGATACTGGCTTTGAATTACTCAGTTACCTCCTTACTCACCGGCTTTAGCTCCAAGTGACTTTCTTCTCTTCCCTAACCTTAAACATTTTCTCAAAGATCGAAGATTTCAGACTGATGATGATCTCATCTATGCCGTCCAGTTATGGATTGGGGACCAAGAAGAAGACTTTTTTAAGAAGGTCATAAAGGCCTTAGAGCACCGCTTGTGCAAGTGTATAGAGGAGATTAAGTCAAAAAAAGAAATCATAGTTGAGCTAGTATCTCTTTTCCTTATAGGTCGGTCCACAAACTTTTAAGATACCCTTCACACGATTTATACCAATTCTATATTTCCACTGCACCCAGCACAGTAGAAACGTTTTCTTACTGTACCCAGTGTCTTCTTAGTACCTAAGTGGTCAGCTGTTGGAAGGTTGTGGAGATGACAGAGTGCTTCTATATGGAGAGTCAGTGGAAGAACAGAACGTAGACATTATTTCTATCCTCTAGCATCTTCCCATTTCCGACATATCAAGCCTTCTCACACCCATAGTGAATACCATTGTGTTCTGGTACATCTTTATCTTTGGGCTATATACATGGAGTGACTGTTTGACACGAAGGTTCTTTTTCTACACAACTATTCATCCGCTGAATAACTGGTTTCAAACACGTATATTTTGCCTGAGCATCTTTCATTTGAGTCTTAGACCACATTAGCTTTTCATCATCACTTGGCGATGTCCCATCTCGAAGTATATTCTGTTACACTTTAGGTTGATTATCTTTACTGTCTCATGATTCTCTATTTTCACAGTGTTTACATTATTCATTAACACGTGGTCTTTGGGATAATGCATCACTAATTCCGTGGTTACGTCCAAGGTAATGCAAAATGTTAAAGTTGTACTCATGAAGTTTCTAAAGCTACTTGGCCAACTAGATTGCAAAATCAAAAATCAGCTAAAGACTGCTGTGGTGTGATGAAATCGGAAACAAAAGATAGGTAAAAACGTGTACCACAAAAAATGGCTAACGTTAAATAGATGTTTTAACTTGTGTGCTTGGTATATGTTTTGATCCTTCTTTTGTTTTCGATTTACTGAAAAATTCACCAGTCATTTCAAAGTTGCGTGACCTGTCGAGAGTGTAAACTTTTGTCCGTTTAAGTAATGACGGAAACCACTTAGGACTACACTTAGTTGCTCTTTCAGCATCATTTGTTGCCTTGATAAAGTAAGTACTCTAATGTTCTTTTCTGTGTATGGTTGATTGTGTCGACAAGTGAAAAATTATTAGATAATTGAACTTTTTAACCTTAGTATTTTAGTTATTATCTAAAATAGTCATCATAAATTTTTTATTGTACCAATTTATTCAAAACATAGAATTTTATATAAGTTGTTTTTAGCCAATACCCAGTAAGCTTGTTTAGATAGTCGTTGTTTCGCGGGTTACGGTTGGAGGTTCATTGTGATTGTTAAAGTAAGGTGTTATAATTAGAATATAGACAAATTTAATCATAAATATAGATAATTTCTCATGTATTTTAATGTACTCTACGTTAATAATAATGGTGCTTGCACCAGATATTTTGTAAAATAATGATTTGCCATTTTTAGAAAATTGTACATACTTCGTTGCACTTTAATTAAATAAGGCTTAACTACGCTGATGAAAAGTTAGGCCTAAGTTTAGTTTAAGAGGAGGAGTTATTTCTAAAATTTGTTTTACAGTTTTAGGCTAGAAGGTTTGTTTAGACCTCACATTACGACTGTTCAAAGTTTATTTAAATGTTATGTTTTAACTTGACGATGTATTAATTGTAAATTATATGCATGGATTGTTTCATAACAATATTGTAACATAATAATGGTTGGAGACGGCTTGAATGGGTAAAAGAAAAACTTTATTATTAAAGTTTTTCTT